TTAAATGTGCATGCGGCGTCTTCAGCGCCGGCAACAGTGTCGATGCGCGTCCCTTCCAGAAATTTTCCTTTGGCGTGAGAAAACGATGCTTCTAGAAGTTTCGAAGGCGTCCCTTTTTTTGTGAGTGCTGGCAGTAAATTATATTTCAAATCGTAAACTTGCTCGGACTTGCCGAGTTTTGTTTGCAAACATTTTGCTCGAGTACCCGCCTCGGTCCGCACGTGCGGATCAGCCTAGGCGCACATGACCTTTCTTTTGTTTGAAATTCATGGGACTGCTTCAATCCCGAACAGTACTAATAATTATACACGCGGGCTCTACTAATTAATAAAAAGAAAATTTATTCATTGAGAAATACTGAAATAAATTAACCTTTAAATTTAAAATTAGATTGTTAAAAATGTAGTTTATTCAGCGTACTATGAATTTCGTGATTGAATAATAAAAGACAGCCACTACCTGACTATGAAATTACAGCTTTTATTGTTTTACTCTGCCTGTAGTTCTACCAGTAAGCGTTCGAGATTCAACATTAGTAGCAGCAGCAGTAAATGAAATACTACAGCTCTCATTATTTAACTCCTCCGATTGTTTCAACAAAATTAAATATATTTCTTAAATCTTCTCTTAAGAATCCTTCAAGCAATAAAAGATTTAATAAGAAGAATAATCAATTAATTAGTTTCAGCAACTTTTTATATTAGCTAAGTCCATAGTTAAGCGATCGACACATTGATAGAGGATAGCAGTCTCTAAATGCGTGATTCGATGAAGATATTCAATGTAGAATTTTTTTATTATTTATAGTAAAATATTTTATAGTAAAAATTTATAATTTTATCAACAAGTATTTATACATGATGATTAAAGAGTATAGAATCAATAGAATTAAATACTGAGAACCACATGGAATTAATATTAGTAAATACATCTTAATTTAGAGAAATCCGTTTAAGCAGCCTAGAAAATTACAATTTTAATAATTGGAGATATGTAATATTGTAAGATAACTTGTAAGATAACTTACGAACTGTTGATGAATTACTTTTTATTTTCAAGTAAATAATCAGTGGGTCACTAAAATGTACAAAACTGTATTTGTACACTTAAATGTACGCTAAGACGTATTAAAATAATCGTTACTTTTCTTTCTTCCTTTTTTCTTTTTTCCTATGATAAGAATACCCATAATTAAAAATAATGCTCATTTCTGCAGCAAGATAAAAATAAGACCAACAGTCGCTATTCAGTCAATTTGTACAATCACAACTAGATTCCGGGTACACATCACTATTAGTCATGAGTAGTAGAATACTGTACGACTTGATCCTGAACCTCTACCATATCTACTATATGTGAAGGCTTATACAAATAATGACAATTACCGTTAGATCTCTATTCGTTTCAGCCAACCAAGGTATTATTACTTTCTCGTCTAACTAAATGTCGCAAGTGCCGATATGCACCTTAGTTTAAATGGATTTACAATAATATATTCCTAAATTTCAAATGAATCCATTTTCCTACTATAAATGTATGAATCTGCATGTATATTCAAATTGAAATTATAAGATTGTCTTTGTGAATAAATTATAAAATACACATTTCTAATTGAATTACTATAGATTTCCATACTTTAGAGAAAAAAAAAATTTTGTGAGAGTTGAAAATTTTAATCATTACTAAAATATAAATCATGATAAAACATTTTTTATAAAATTTGAATATAGCAATGGTAGATTAACACATAAAGTACTATATTCTTCTCAAAAAAGAAAAATCAGAATATATTTTTAATGAATTACAAATTTATGGATTCACTAAAACATTATTATTTTTCTAATATCAATATTAATTTAATCGTGTTGATATTTTGTGAATAACATACTAAATAATATAGTTATTCATGTATAACACAGTTTAATTATTTAATTATTATATATATAATTTACAATAATTGTAGATATTATAAAGAAAACAAATAATTGTTAATTATAAAAAATTATTTATGAGATGAAGCCCACACACTGAAAGTTCTAATAATCATGTTTTTTTTTAATCACTTTTATTAAAATTTTAATTACACAATTTTAATCAAATAGCTTGTAATTAAATTAATGGTTTCATATTTAAAGTACAATATTTTTGAAATTCTAGCTTATTAAATTTACAATTTTTAATAATATTCAATTAATCTCACATTTATATAAGCTGTCATAAAACTGTAATTATATGAAGATTATGGATAAAAAACTACGTTGCATTGTATGAAATGTCTAAATGAACATAATTAACAATATGTTAGTTGAATCAAATTGATGAAACATTTTATAATTTTGAATATCTACTTTTGAGTAAAATAATTTGATTATGAGCACCGAGACTGCTATAGAATTAGAAAAGACTCTTATATGACTTATGTCTGTCAACATTATATTTTCTACTTGATGTTTTAACTATGCATAAGTGTCTTCTTCATATCCTCCGTTGTAGAGCATCATTTTCGTCCGACCAAATATGGGCTGTTATACAGATAAATTATCAAAAATAAATTAGCTTTATAAGAAGCTTCAGTGTTGAATAGGTTTCAAATACATTTGAAACATAAAATTCAATCATAACAAATTAAAAGTGAAAAGGAATCAGATTTTCTCTACTATTCTATATTCTTTATATGTACAATAATATATATACTATTTAATAAGAGTATATATTTAAATTATGTTCAACATATTCTCTCAAGTTCACTTTCACTTTATATTCACTTCACTTCACTTTATGTTCACATTCACTTTATAATTAAAAATTTATTTAAAACATGAAAATTGTAATCAAGTAAACTTAAAATTTGCTTAAAATTATTCCAATAACTTAAAAAACAACAACATTATACGTCATTAGTATTTAAAATCAAATAAACGGTACTTTTCATTGAACAAAATAAATAAATTTTAGTGTCTGCAATAACACAATACATTTTAGTGTCTGTAATAACAAAGTATCAATTATAAATTTGCAACGCTAAATCAGCACATTACATTTCTGCCGTTAATTCATCCATGTAGAGAGAAAGTAAAGACAAAGTGGCAGGCACCAAATAGGCGACCGACACATCTTTCCCATCGCCCTTTCATAAATCGTAGTAGAAAAACGTCTAATGATATGCAGGTATTGGCTGCAATAATAACTGAATATTAAAAATTTACTAATTATCTAAGTTTGATCATCTCTATATCTTTCATGTAGAAAGTTAAGATTTTCTTTTCTTTTGTATTGTATTTTATTTTTCCTAACATTATATTTACATAATAATGCTGCTTCATATTAAAAATATATAAACGGAAATTTAACATCTTTTTCTTCATGTTTTTATAAATTGTTTTTCATCGCCAATGAACTTCTATTATATAAAAGAGTCATGTCTACATGTAGATTTGATTCAATTAGTAAACAACACTTTCTTAAGTCGGAAGACAGTAGA